TAAATTTGTACTATATCAAATTAAAGCTAATAAAAACCAACTGGCATTGTCGCCAAAGTTCAAAAAAAAAAAAAAAAAAAAACCTCTAAAAAATTAAATCAAACAAATAATTTTAAAATTTTATAAATATATTATCTATAACTATAAAAATATATTTGATTTATATAAACAATAATTATTAATAAAATTTTTAAGCTATGAATTTGGCCAGACACTTTGAGTTTGTCCACTTTAAGTTACTTAAAGTAGACAAATCCAAAAGTCTGGCCAAATTCATAGCTTAAAAACTTTATTAATAATTATTGTTTATATAAATCAAGTATATTTTTATAGTTATAGATAATATATTTATAAAATTTTAGAATTATTTGTTTGATTTAATTTTTATAATTAGTAATTATTTTTTAAGGGTTTGAAATTTGTTCAGATTTGTTCAGCATGTATATATAGGTAGCATAGATTTGAATTAAGTATCAGATGTATTATTTACTAAATCAAATATTGATATCAAAACAAAGGTCAATGAATTGTACTATTATCCGCATTGCTTGTTCGTAAAGCAAAAAGAAATGAACATAAGTTGAGTTTCAAATTAGATTTGAGTTCAAGACAAATGTCATTCCAATTTGGTTTGGCTTATATTGCTAGCCATATTGGCCTTAATCCACTAGCATTTTGCAGCTATACTTTTGTATTGTATTAACTTATGTGCATGTACTAACTTGTGAAAAATATACCATGCAATAGAATCAATTAGAAGTGGAACTTTTAAATTACTTCTATTGCATATTAAGTATATTTTTCACTTTATTTTCAAATTAGTGACAGGTTAAGGTTAAAACAATATAATTATACGAAACTGCAACTATAAAAATCGAGTAACCAGACAATGGTCCTAATCTACTTGATTTTACTACAGAGCTGAAATGACCTATGGTAAATAGAAGCCATTCACAAAGTATCAGTTTTGATTCACATTAATTTCTTATTTGTTACCAATGGTAATTGTTCGCAATAGCTTAAATACTAATTATAAAGTATTAAAAAAGACGCTTTAACAATAGATATTAGTGGTCACTATTTACTATAGGTTGTTTCAGCTCCGCTTTACCAGTATATTTGTAGTTGCAAGTTTCGTATTATGATTGTATTTTGTTAACTTCTAAATTAATCTACGTATCATATATATACATAGTACTTTATCTAATACGAAACTTGCATCTACAAATATCTACGTACAAATATATTACTAAAGTTAAGTAAATTAGGACCATTGTCGGTTACAAATTATGATCCTAACTCATTTGACTTTTTGTAATTGCAAGTTTCGTATTATCTTGTATTGGTTTAACTTCTAAATTAATTTTACTACATATAGAGTGTCCAGACCTATGAGACTTCGGGAATTTTCATTGTTTAAACAATGAAAAATCCCCGAAATCGCATAAGTCTGAACACTCTATACATATATATTATCTTTTTTTCAAATTGGTATATGCATAAATGTTACGTAACACACTACAATTATTATATATATAGTAAAGCAGATTATAGTTTATATAATTGTTTGATTTCTTGTTATAATAAAACAAATAATTTTTATAATTGTTTTAATATATACTATAATATTTATATATAGGTGATTATCACCTGTGATGTAAATTAGAAATTTTTTTGTTCAAAACTTATTTAACAAAATCACTTTTACCAAGAAAATTCTCGATCATATGTGAGTTAATATACATCGATAACAATATAATAAAATCATTCACAAAATATACATGCAAAAGTAAACTGATTATGTATGCAAAACTGAGCTACCAGGACTTAGCTTTATTAATATGATATAAATAAAGTAGATATATTTATAAAATAAACCTTTTGTATACTTACCTATAGGATAATAAATATCACAGCTGAAGCTAGAAATGGCTGAAACCGGAAATTAGGGATCTTTATTTAAAAATATAAAACTACACCAAAATCCACTTATACTCATTTATTATTAAAACTAACCCTAACCTAGCCCTAAAAAACCACCTAACAAAAGGCCCCAAAAATTTTTGAAAAATTTCATATTAAAATAATCAAATTTCCAGCTTCAGCCATTTCCAGCTTCAGCCACGATAATAAATATCAGAATAATGCCGAAATTTGGAATCTCGATTTAAAAATATAAACCCTAAAAAACACCCCTAAAAATTTTTAAAATTTCAGCATCATCTCCGATAATAAATAAACAATAGCTTTTCTAATACCTGTATTAGTTATGGTGATCGTGGAGTTATTAACTCTCCACCATAAAGAGGCATATCTTCTCGAGCCTGTGGAGAACAAATAGCTATGTTATATAAAGATAAATCGACTTTTCTATAATTTTATTAAGGACATGAGTATAGTTGCCTACATATTTAAAAATTCTATTAATTAACCAGAACATTTACTGTATATATCAATTTTACAATAGTTCATCAAAAGATGATAGCCTTACTCTCACTTCCACAATTCATTCATAAATTCGGTAAGTGAAGACTCTCCCCGATTCATCGAGGCAAGACGTTGAACAAAGTAGAAAGCACCAAATGGCATAGTCATAACCCAACATGCCAAAGTTACACCTAAAACAGAAGAGGTTATTTCTGAGTAAAAAAAAAAGATCGAATATGATATTACGTACCAGCAACTTGAATACCAAACACTGGAACCTTATTAAGCTCTTCTTCTAATTCTTTCATTTCTCCTGCTCTTCCTCTAGTAAGCTTTCTCAATAATCTCACATGGGCATCCTTCATAAGCTTTATCAACTTATCCCAGTCTTCACGAATTTTTTTATTAGTAGGAAGAACTCGTGAAGCTTCCATAAGACATATTTCTACTTCATCAACTATTAATGGTGACTTTATCCGAAAATCAGGCTTATGTCCATTCTTGTTTCCCCGGAATCATCCATCCGACGTTGGGATGCTTCCGAGACTTCTTCAGCCCTGTTATAATATATAATACATTTTTTATTTTATATAAACAAAACCCATATTCTTTATTAAATAATATTTAAAAAAATACCAAATAATTTTAAGTTTGGCATTTTCATAGCAGAATAATGGATCAAGAAAGCTTGATACTATTCGAATAATATACGTTCCCTCCGTATATTCAGCCTTATTTTCGTCTTTAAAGTGACACCAGATATGTCATCTACAAAAACAAAAATATATAAAAAGTAAAAGGTATAAAACACTATAAAAGATATAAAAGGTATAAAAGATAAAAGGTATGAAATAATATAAAAGGTATAAAAGGTAGAAGCTTAATTACTTACATTGAATCTATAATTCTATACATCACACATATAGTGCTGTAGTGGCGATCATAAATAATGCAACAAAAAAAAGTTTTTTTTTAGATCGCAATATTTCATGCAATTCTGGGTCTTTTCTGTTCAAATTTTTTTTTTTTTATTCACAAATAGTATCTTTTTAAAATATTAAAATTTTAATAGCTTTTATTATTGCCAATGCGAAAATAATTGTGCATTTATTACAAATCACGTGTTGCATTATTTTTGATCGTTTTTGACAAAGATCAGATAATTTCTACTGTACTACCTAAGTACATATCAAAATGTAAATTCTTGCATCTCTACTACAATAAAGCACCTGATAAAGTTTTAACAAAAAAAAACATATATTCTTCAATCTAGTTTCTTCTTTGCTATAAAAATGATATGTTACAAAAGTGATAAATTGGGTGCATAATACTGGTTTCTTCATGTTTTTTTTGTCTATAAAGGTTGCTGTGCATCACATTCATGAAGAATTAATAAAGGTTAGTTGTTTACTTATTAAGTGTAAACAAAACCAAACAAGAACATTAAATTGAATAATTTTTGATTGTTGCTTAATTGTTGTTTAAATATAGTTTTACTTAAAAATAATAATAATATATATGTTTTAATAGCTAATTCTTCTTTTTATACTTTAAAACTACAAGTTAATATTAAGAATTAAATAGAAAAATTTTGCTAACTTAAATATAAATAAAAATGTTGACTTGAACTTACAAAAAAGTGTAAAAATCAGTTTATCAAAACTAATTATAGGTAATCCAATCTAATAATTTAAAATTTTAAGATTTTTTAATTAAAAAATTGTAAGAAGTTTATTAAATAGCTTTTAAATTAAACTTAAATAGAATTTTGGTAAAATTTGTAATAATACGTATATAGTGTTGCATTATATTTTATTATACAAAGGCCTTAGTAAGCTTATTTATACTACAAATAATAAGTTTTTCTAATAGGTTTTTTGTATAAATATATGAATAACATTAAAGATTATGAATATATTATCTGTAAAGTTATTTTTTTAATTAGATAATAAAAAATATATATATAACAATAGTAAAATAATAATTTAAAAATAATTAAGTTAAGATTTTATATTAGTCATTCTATTTTTTAACTTTTTTCTTATTAATTTTTTTTTAGATTTTGGTTAACTATCTGTATAAAAGTTTATTATTTCAATTTTAAGCAAGAAAAATCTTTGGGCATAATCTAGGTAACTTAATAAGAAATCAGTATTAATACTTGTATTGCCTTGGTTTGCTACTTTGAAAAACAAAATCTAAAACATTAATATAATACAAGATAAATATAACAAATAGTAGTGATCATAAATTATTAAAATAAAATAAAAAAAGGTTTTTTTATATATAAAAAATTTTTTTATTTTATATTTGTGTTGTGTTTAAAATAAGCAAAAATAATGCAATACAATTTTTAAATAAAGCTTATATCAGTAAAAAATTTGACTTATTAATACTTTCTAAAATTTTTAATTTTAAAAATTATAGTATTTAAGAATAAAATAAAAAAAAGTTAATAAATACATTTAATATAAAACAATTTAATTTAACTAAAAAAAATTTTGTTGCATTATTTATAATCATCATTGTATATTTTTAAATTTTTTATTATTTTCTTAAAAGTTTATTGATATAGGCAAAAAAAAACTATTATTACTTTTTTGTTTAAACTTTTTGATCTTTTTAATAGAACTTTAACTAATTCAGAAATAATTGAACTTATTTTAAATTTATAATATAGTAAATCTAAGATTTTTTTTGAATTTTTTTTTTAATCTTTCAGTAACTTTTCAAAAATTATATTAAAGTCTCTATTAATAATACAAGCAAAATTATCTATTTAATATTATTAAAAGCAAAAAGTATGCAAATTATTTTTATATAGTCATATATAGTATATTAAAATTTTTAATTAAAATTGATATATGCTATAATAAAACTTTTTTATTTTTTAATTAATTAATAAAAAAATTTTATAATATTATAAATAAAATTATTTATTTATTGTATTATTTTAAAAAAATATACTTGTATATATAATAAAGTTTACTTAAATTGATTAAAATTTTCTTAGATAATATAAAAATAAAAAATTTAATTAGTTAATTTATATAAATCAATAAGTTAATTTTATTATATAATTTTGTATCCTAATATTTAAACATTTATATCTCAATAAGTTTTTAAACTATTTTAATAATTTTATTATTATTAAAATTAAAAAAACTTACTTTACAACTTTTACTTAATAATTAAACTTAGTTTACTTTTTTTTTAAAAAAAAATGTTAAAAGTAAGGCCATGCCTCTATCTTTATTAAAACTTAGTTAAAGTTTTTACAAATAGAATATACAGAAAAAATTTATATTTGTATTTTATATCTATAAGATATTAAAATTAGAAGTTCAGACAAGTTATTTGTAATCTAAACCTATTAAAATAACCAGAACTCATTTAGATTTTAAAATTTATAATTATAATAAAAAGGTTTATTTGATATTTGATCTATTTAGAGCACTATGTTTCAATTTTAGAACTAGCAATTAAATATAATGCATGTTGAGTCAGTAAGTTTTGAAAAGTATAAGATGTTAAAATAAGTTAAGATTATCTACTAGGTTGAGGTTTAGAAGCTTAGTATAATATTCGGATTTAAAAATAAATTTGTTTATTAAAATGAAACAAAAATTTAATTACAAGTGTAATAGCAATTTAGTAGATAAAGTAACATCTTTGATTGAATTAATTAATTTATAAGAGATTAGATTAGACAATGTTAATGTTAGAGAAAATGAATTTGGTATATTGTAATTTTATATACAATTAAGATTTTTGATTTAATTATACAAATCAGATACAGTTCTTAGTAATATGTTAAAAATAGATATATTAAAAATATGTTTAAATGAGTTATCAATAAGATTGTTAAAAAAATACAAAAATGAATAGATAGTTCAATGAAGTGGAGTACTGATTTGGTTATATAGGTGACAATTAGAAGATTGAGTATAGTTATATTTATATAGATTATATAAAGTTAAGAAATTATTTATAAAAATTTTTATATAGAAGAACTTAAGCTAAGATGTTTAAAAGCTATAAGAATAGTTTGTTATTTTTTTGATTATTGTTAATATAGAGCTAAGTGGCTTTTCAATTAGTTTGAATTGTAATTTAAAACTATTTTTGAAAGCAATACTAAAATAACTATAATGCATAAATATGGATATAACAAATTATACAGTTATAACAACAAATAGGTAATTTAATAGAATAGATAGTTATTGAGTTGAAGTATATAATTAGATTTATAATAATTTTGTAAGTTAAATAATAAGTATAGAAGAATAAAATGATTGTAAGCAAAATTGTTAGCAAGATTTTAAATTTGTTATCTTGGTATATAGCAATTTTATAAAGAATAAGTTATATATTGTAAGAGTTTGTAAAGTTAATTAAAGTATATTAGAGTAAGTAATATAAAGTATTAATGAATAATAATTTGAGTGATGTTAAATTAATGCTATTGTATTTGGATATAGCAGATTGTGAATCAGTATAGATGTAAACTGTACAGTTTCTAGATGCAGTAATAATAGCAGAAAGAATTGCAATAATTTCTATTAATCTGAATAATTTATCAGATATCTGAATATCCATCTATTTATTCATTTTATCTATTTATCTATTTGATATCTGAATATCCATGGATAAATAGATAAATGGATACTAGATTGGAGCTCTACTAAAAATTATTCTCTCTGATTAAGAAAGAAATTTCATTAGTAAAACTGTTTGCATCTTATATAAAAAGTTTCTTATTAAGTATAAGTTCTCTTTATTATACTATTTACAGATAAATGAAATAGTTAAGTGTTTAAATTAAATCTTATATACATTACTTGCTAAAGTTAAAAAAGATAATAACTGAAACTTATATATATTTGCTGTACTGCTTGCTTATTAAACAAAGAAGCATGCCACAACTAGATATACATCTTTTTAGCTTGTATACAAATGATAAGCTGTTTTTTTAATTAAAGTTTTATTATTTATTAAACCTTTTGAAGAAACAAAATATAACTTACAAGATAGCATATTATGCTAAGCATTTAAGCTTATTGACAAGTTACTTGAATTGCAGAATAATACAAGAGAAAAGACTAGTAAATTATAACAAAAACAGAAAAAATACTTTGATACTAAAATCTATTACAAACTATTCAAAATAGATAACAAAGCATGAATAATTAAAAAGAATATAGAACATTCTTGATTCGCTAAATTCGAAGATAAAAGAACTAAATCTTTTATTATTCAAGAAAAATTAAATAATAATGCCTATAAACTTTGTAATTACAAAGAAAAAATATTACAAAAATACTATAATAGTAATCATCTTGCTAAATATTATAAAAAACAAATATAGAAACCTTTTGTTCTTATCAAATAACTAAAATTTTTGAAAGAAATTTCTAAATCAGAGAAAAAGACA